CATTCATTCATTCATTCATTCATTCATTCATTCACTCATTCATTCATTCACTCATTCATTCCTTCATTCATTCATTCATTCATACATTCACTCATTCATTCATTCACTCACTTACTCATTCCTTCATTCATACATTCACTCATTCATTCCTTCATTCATTCATTCATTCATACATTCACTCATTCATTCACTCATTCATTCATTCATTCACTCATTCATTCATTCATTCATTCATTCATTCAATCAATCATTCATTCATTCACTCATTCATTCATTCATTCAATCATTCATTCATTCATTCACTCATTCATTCATTCATTCACTCACTCACTCATTCATTCATTCACTCATTCATTCATTCATTCATTCAATCATTCATTCATTCACTCATTCATTTATTCATTCATTCATTCAGTCATTCACTCATTCCTTCATTCATTCATTTATTCATTTATGTATTCATTCATTCATTCATTCGACTTCAGCCCCTTTATTTATCAGGGGTTGCCACAGCGGAATGAACCGCCAACTAGTCCAGCATATGTTTTACTTAGTGAATGCTTCTCCAGCCGCCACCCAGAACTGGGAAACACTCATGCACACTCACATTCACACACAAACACTCATCAGTACACCCATTACGGATGCCGGAGCACCAGGTCATGAAGAAGACGCTTTCACCTGCATCCTCCCCCTGGCGTTTATTTACTTTCCATCTCTTTGAAACGTCACGGCTAAATGTGCCACCTGTGGTCTGTATGTGTGTGTGTGTGATCTATCAGCGGTCACTCACCCACTGGTGTTTTCTGATTGGTGAAGATCATGGTTTGGTTTGTGCCGTCAGTGTTTGCCATGCTGATGTTGTCGCCATCAGTCCAGTACAGCTTCCTGACAGTCACAGAACACTGAGAGTTAACAACAACTAACAATCTGTGTGTGTGCGTGTGTGTCTATACGCATGTCTTTGTGTGTGTCTGTGTAAGAGCGTCTGACATTGTAAGTATGTGCGTTTGCGTGTGTGCGTGTGTTTGTTTGTGTCTGTCAGTGTAAGCGTGTATGTGTGTGTGTATATTTGTGTGTCTGCATATGTGTGTCCCTACTGAAAAAAACAGCTCAAACCAGCCTAGGCTGGTCTAGCTGGTTTTAGCTGGTCACCCAAGCTGGTTTTAGCTGGTTTGTCAGACTGGTTTAAGAGGGGTTTTGGCCACTTTTTAGCTGGTCTTAGCTGGTCAGGTTAGTCTTAGCTAGTTTTAGCTGGTTAAGCTGGTCTTAGCTGGTTTTAGCTGGTCAAGCTAGTCTTAGCTGGTTAGGCTGGTTTTAGTGGGGCCACTTTTTAGCTGGTCTTGGTCAGGTTGGTCTTAACTGGTTTTACCTAGTCAAGCTAGTCTTAGCTAGTTTTAGATGGTTAAGCTAGTCTTAGCTAGTTTTAGGTGGTCAGGCTGGTTTTAGCGGGGTTTTGGCCACTTTTTAGCTGGTCTTGGTCATGCTGGTCTTAACTGGTTTTAGCTGGTCTTCGCTGGTCAGGTTGGTCTTAGCTGGTCTTAGTCGGTTTTAGCTGGTCAAACTAGTCTTAGTCGGTTTTAGCTGGTCAAGCTAGTCTTAGCTGGTGTTAGCAGGGGTGTCTTTGTGAGTGTGTCTTTGTGTATGTATACATGTACATGTATGTTTGTGTATGCGTTTGCCTGTCTCTGTACGTCTGTCTGTGCGTGTGTGTATGTATGTGTGTGTGCCTGTCTGTGTACTTACAGCATGTATGCGTGTGTCTGTGTAAGTGTGTCTGTATGTGTATGTATGTGCGTCTGTGTGTGTGTCAGTGAGTCTACATGTGTATCTTCATGTGTGTGTGTGTGTGTGTGTGTGTTTGTGTGTGTGTTTTCCCTTGTAAATGCAGCAGTATTGTCGCACTCACCCCAGTACAGGATGCAGCACCAGACAATGTGGTTTGTCCAGACCCTGAATCACAGCGTTCTTGAAGGATCCGTCCAGTCGGGCCACATTAATCTGCTTCTTATTGCCATCATAGCTGGTCCAGAAGAGATTTCGAGAAACCCAGTCCACCGCCAGACCGTGTGCGTTAGGGATATCTGAACACACACACACACATACACACAATAAAATAATAGGGGCTCTTTAATGTATGAATGCTTAACAAATAACGAATTCACTATGATTTATGGTGTGTAGCTATTATAAAGTGTTTCTAATAATTCAGGAGGAAAGATAATTCTGAATGTACAGTGTGTACACTTGGTGCAAGCATTCCTGTGTATGAATGGCGCACCTGCAGACACCACGGTCTCGATGCCTGTGCCATTAATGAAGGCTCTCTTGATGGTCTGCGTCCGCACGTCTGACCAGTAGATTCGCCTCTCCAGAGCGTCGTAATCCACCACCGTCACGTTATCGATGTCCGGCACGGTGAAGGAGATGATGTAGTTATAGTAGGGGTTATGGATGTCCACTCCTCGGATCTCAATCTGACGCGCGTACAGCAGAAACTGACGAGACTCTGAGGACAAACACACACAAACATCACTGATCTGAGAAATTATGCTCCATTAGTTCATTTCAGTTACTGCATGAACAAACAATTAGAAATACATTTATTATGGTATTTTTTCATCTTAGTTAACCTTAGTTCATGTTAAATACACTGTAAAAAAATCCTATTTTTACAGAAAATATCTCTACATTTTTTACAGTAATTTTTTGTCATTTCAAATTACTTTTAAAACTTAGGAAAATGACAAACACTCTCTCTAAATTAACAGTTTGACTTTCATTTTAGGTGTTTTATCATTAAAGATAAATTACTGACATTTTAGTTTTTATACAGGGAAATTGCAGTATTATTTATACAGTATTTTTTCTGTTATTTTAAATTATATTCAAAAGTCTGTAAAATGACAAACAATATCTGTAAACTAGACTCTTAAAGTTTGAGGACAAACTTTGAGACTGGCTTGTGAAAGTCTGTTGGTAATAGTTTATTTAGTTTAAACTGTTTTTAAAAGTATGAAAAGATAGATAGATAGATAGATAGATAGATAGATAGATAGATAGATAGATAGATAGATAGATAGATAGATAGATAGATGATAGATAGATAGATGATAGATAGATAGATAGATAGATAGATAGATAGATAGATAGATAGATAGATAGATAGATAGATAGATAGATAGATAGATAGATAGATAGATAGATAGATAAAGCAATGTTCTATAGATTTTTCTTAATGTTCAGTAAGCATTTCTAGCATGTTAAAGTATTTAGCTAATCATTATTAGCATATTGCTAGTCATTGCTAGCATGCGAACCATACAGGATTTATGGTGTGCTAGCATGAGTCAAACAAGCCAACCCCTGCTTCTCTACAATGTTCTGATGCTGAGATATAGCTGCTGTTATATTGTTGCTAGGTTAGTCTGTTTTGTTGCTATGGAGTTGATTGACAGCTTAGACTATTGATGTATCAAAGCTTCTTGCCAGCATGACCAGTTAAAAACAACCCCCATGTCTCTATCACACTGCAGCATGACGATATCAATCTGAACCTCTATAATGGCAGTCTATGGGACAGTTGCTAGGGTGCAGTATCTGGTTGTTAGGGGTGTGACTAGAAAGTTAAAAGCTCATCACTTATTGGTAGTTTCGTAGTCTGAGTTAAATGAGCCTAGTTAGAAGTCTGTGTGACAATCTGATGTAGAGTTATGAGCTAACAAAGTTTGACCTAATGTAAAGTCAATGAGAGTCTTTTGCAGTGAAAGTCTATGGGACAGTATCTAGGGTGCCAAAAGTGGTTGTTACACAAGCCAGCCTACTTAACAGCTTGACTGTTGTTTTATGTTCTCTATAATTAATGACAAATTAAAGCAATTTGTCTGTTTTATACAATAAAATCAACCCAAGCTCATTCTGGAAACGTAGCCCCGCGGACGTTTCTGGAGACTGCGATTTACATGGCCGGAAGTACGTAAAGACCGCGTTTGGTTTTTTTCGAGCGAACGCTGCGGGACAGTGTGGCGCCGCTCCGCCCCTCCTCTTCGCGCTCGCCTCCGAGTGTAGGGCTTTCCCGACGCAATCAGTTTGTCCGCCTAGCTCACAGCGTTGCGTCGGCGGAGCGGAGGCCCCGGAGGAGGAGGACGAGCCGGAGCCGGCCGCGGTGGACAACGACCGGGATCGAGTCCGGGGAACGGCGGGTTCCGGAAATCAGGTAAGACGAAAAACGGAATCTGGAAAATAAGGACGAGAACGCTGCGGGATCCGAAAACGCGGTCGAAATCGAAGACGAGGGCTTGTGCTTTTTTTTTTTTTTTCCCGATCCGGCGGCTTTTCGCGCGAGAAAAAGCGCGCACAGCGGCCTCTCGTGGATCCGCGAAAACAAAAAAAACGCTCGAATACGTACCTCCCGGGACGTAAATCGCGGTCCGCAGAAACGTCCGCGGGGCTACGTTTTCACAAGGAGCCCGGGTTGAATAAAATTGGCGTATTATTTACACAGTGTTTTTTCAGTTTTTTAAGTACATTTAAAATATGTAAAATTAAAGTAATAAATTGTAAAAAAAATAAATCGTAAAGAAAAGGTTAAATGACTGCAGCTACGGCTGCCAAACAAAAACTATAAAATTACGGTAAAATTTCTTTGTTGAAATAAAGTGCAAAAAATAAAAAATCTTCAGATTTTCCATTAAAGTGTTTAAATTAAAGTTTTACAAAGACAAACTCCACAAAGAAATGCCAACTGACCCAGCCGAGGCTCGAACCAGAGACCTTCTTGCTGTGGGACAACAGCAATACCTACTGCACCACTGCGTCGCCGTTTTTAGATTAATTTCAGTAAACTAATATTGACTAATATAAAAGTGCTCATTTGATTTATTTTAGTAGAGATATTATATGAGAGACGTGCGCTTTGCTTATCAAATAAGTGGATCTAAACGGATTTGCATTGTACACATCTGTACATCCATCTGGCCCGAGCAATAACTACAGTAAGTGCAAGGAACGTGTAACTACCTACATCACCCTAAATTAAAGGGCTACCAAATTTAATTTCCGCGTATGATCTTTAAAAAAAATATCATATTTATCTTTACATTCACCTTTCCCCCCTAAATTAATAATATTAATTTAATTATGACACATCATAAGGAATAGTTCACGCAAAAAGTTAAATCCTGTCATCATTTACCCATCCTTGTTGAACACAAAGGAAGATATTTTAAAGAATGTTGGAATTAAAACATTATTGACTTCCATAATATTTTCCTTTGTGTTCAACAGAAGAAAGAAACTCATAATAGTTCATTTATTTTCTCTTTGCCATGATGACAGTAAATAATATTAGACTAGATATTCTTCAAGACACTAATATTCAGCTTAAAGTGACATGTAAAGGCTTCACTAGGGTAATTAGGGTAAAGTTATGGTAATTAGGCAAGTCTTTGTATAACAGTGGTTCGTTCTGGACACAATCCAACACTAATATTGCTTAAGGAGGCGAATAATATTGGGTTTAAAAAATTAAAAACGGCTTTTATCCAAGCTATAATAAAACACATAAGACTTTTTACAGAAGAAAAAAATATTATAGGAAATACTGTGAAAAATTCCTGAATCTGTTCAACATCATTTGGGAAATAATTGAAAAAAAAAAAAAAGGAGGGTGAATAATTTTAGCTTTATTTGTGTATGCTGTTGTGTAATTACAGGCATAAATTGGCCTTAAAATGACAATAATATCACTTATGTCAATAATTTCTCAATAATGTGTCAAAAATGTTTATTTTAATCTCTGTCGTCTGTGTTTCTCTCACCGTAGCAGGTGTGGTTGTCTTCTCTGAGCCTCATGAGATGTGGACAGGCGCAGGAGAACGTCTGGTTATAGTTGATCAGACACAGATGAGAACACGGACCCAGACCTCCTCGAGCAGCACACGGGTTCGGCGCTGGACACATAAATAAAAGACCACATGCACATTTCATCATCAACACGAAACATTGAAACACACCTCCAGATGAGACCTGATGTCAGACTGAAGCTTCATTCATCCATGCTGTTTGCATCCAAAGCTGTGAATTTAACTGGAATATTAAATGATTCATCTTCTTTTCGGCTTAGTCTCTTTATTAATCTGGGGTCGCCACAGTGGAATGAACCGCCAACTTATCCAGCATTTGTTTTACGCAGCGGATGCCCTTCCACCTGCAATCCAACACTGGGAAACACACTCATTCACACACACTCATACACTTCGGACAGTTTAGCTCACCCAATTCACCTACGACGTCTTTAGACTTTGGAGCACCTGGAAGAAACCCACAGAAGCACGGGGAGAACATGCAAACTCCACACAGACTTGAACCAGAGACCTTCTTGCTGTTGGGTTAGGGTTAGTCGTGCCCAATGACAAGTCAAAGCCCACAACAGACATGAAGAGCAGCACATCCATCATCTCTCTCTCTCTCTCTCTCTCTCTCTCTCTCTGTCTCTCACCCTTTCCCCTGCAGTGATGGGCAGATGGGGCTTCTATGATTGGCCTCCACATTCCCACAGCTCAGACACCTGGTCTGAAACACATTACCTGCAGAAACACACACACACACACACACACACATACACACACACACACACACACACACTAGAATCTGGGACTTGAGCAAATACACTCAATCTGGCAACCAAGACATGAATAGACACAAGGTTTCAGCAACATGTTGGCATATGTGTGTGTGTGTGTGTGTGTGTGTGTGTGTTCTGACCGTGGACCTCCAGCAGGCGTGTGGACCCTGCGCGTCGGTGTAGTTCATCGATGTTCTGTGTGATGACGACGAGCGAACGCTTCTGTCTGCGCAGACGCTCCTCACACTCGGCGATGGCCCGGTGAGCAGCACTCGCACGCGCACGCAGAGCCAACTCTCTGCGGTAGTGATAAAACTCCCACACACGGCTGGTGTGACGAGAGAAACACTGCGGCGTCGCCAGATCCTGACACACACACACACACACACACACACAGAGACACAGATACAGACACACACACACACACACACACACACACACACGTGCGCACAGAAACACCCACAAACACCCACATTCAGAGAGACACACACACACACACACACACACACATTCAGACACACAAACACATACAAACACACACATATACCCACATATACACACAAACCACTAAGAAAGAGAACACACATCATATTACACACACACAAAGTAACATAGACACCTCATACACACACAGAGAAACACACATAGGCACAAAACATACACAATGACTGTAAGTAACACACCCAAACACACTTTCACTCACTCTTTGAGACACACACACACACACACACACACACACACAAATACAGAGACACACACACATACAGAACACACACATATACAGAGAGACACACGCACACAAATACAGAGACACAAACACAGACATCCACATATACACACATACAGACACCCACACACGTACGCGTACACACACACAAAGACACGCACATGAACGCATAAAGAGACACACATGTGCGCACCCACGTAGACACACACACACATACACAGACACAGAAACACACAGAGACATGCACACACACGGTTAAAGGGGGTTATTTATTATATACTAGATTTTGAGTACAGTAATTTTATATACTACATAATTGTATAATAAAAATAGTTAAAATATTAAATAGAAATAAAATAGTTCATTAAACAATCATTTTATTTTAGTTTGTATTCTTTT